AGTGTAATAATAATAATGATATAATAATAATAATAGAATAACGGGGATGACAGATATAAATCATGAAATAATAATAGTTCTCTGTAGTATTATCGTCTGGTTCTCGGGGGTAATGAAGTGGATATTTATCGGGGTGCTCAGGGCGGATTTGATCGGAATTATTGATGATTGTCTCCCCAGAATTTGGGGCGCTGCGGGAAGAGTTCTCCTTGATGAAATCAAACATTTCATTTTCGGGGATGATTTGCGGGTATTCAGGGAGCCTCCATTAGGGTCAGTGAGAGGAGCGCTGGGGGAGCAATGCCGGGATTCTGCCCCGGGGAGCCTCTGCTGTACACGGACCGGTATGAGGACAGATAATTGTCCTCACAGAGCCTGGCATGGTGGGTAAGAAGCTTTTAGACAGGACTAGAGGTTGGCATGGTGGTTGGAGGGTTGGAGGACAGGACTAGAGGTTGGCATGGTGGTTGGAGGGTTGGAGGACAGGACTAGAGGTTGGCATGGTGGTTGGAGGGTTGGATGACAGGACTAGAGGCTGGCATGGTGGTTGGAGGGTTGGAGGACAGGACTAGAGGTTGGTATGGTGGGTACCACACTGCTGTAGAAATACAGGACTTGTAGGGTGTATTAGAGGCTGGTATGAAGGTGTAAAGTCTGTATAGTTGGTAGGAGTCTGACAGACATGAAATAGAGCCTGGTATGCTGTTCAGGAGGCTGCTATAGAGGAACAGAGGCTGGTATGAGGGTTAGAAGGCAACTTTAGAAGGGCAGAGGTTGATATGGTAGGTAAAATGATGTTATAGAGGCAAAAAGGATAATATAATATGTAGGAGGTTGATATGGATTGACAGAGGTTTATATGGATGGACAGAGGCTGGTATGGGGGGACAGAGGCTGGTATGGGGGGACAAAATGGTATGGATGGACAGAGGCCGGTATTGTTGGTATGGAGCCTGGACTAGGGCAATGGAGACCAGTGAGTCCCATATCAGTCCCGGAGATGAGGGACGCTTGTCCTGTAGGCTCCCTTACTCAATGGTTGGCAGAATTTGACATGAAGGTAAATATTCCTCCAGTACAGAGACTGAAGGGTTCACGATGGCTGGTATAGGACATGCTGGTTGCTGTGAGGGTACGGAGTCTGGCATATGAACATGGGGGCACAGGTGCTGGGATATGAGAACATGGGGCACAGGAGCTGGGATATGAGAACATGGGGCACAGGAGCTGGGATATGAGAACATGGGGCACAGGAGCTGGGATATGAGAACATGGGGCACAGGAGCTGGGATATGAGAACATGGGGCACAGGAGCTGGGATATGAGAAGATGGGGGCACAGGAGGTGGGATATGGGAACATGGGGGCACAGGAGCAGGGATATGAGAACATGGGGCACAGGAGCTGGGATATGAGAACATGGGGCACAGGAGCTGGGATATGAGAAGATAGGGGGACAGGATCTGGGATATGAGAACATGGGGGCACAGGAGCTGGGATATGAGAACATGGGGCACAGGAGCTGGGATATGAGAAGATGGGGGCACAGGATCTGGGATATGAGAACATGGGGCACAGGAGCTGGGATATGAGAACATGGGGCACAGGAGCTGGGATATGAGAACATGGGGCACAGGAGCTGGGATATGAGAACATGGGGCACAGGAGCTGGGATATGAGAACATGGGGCACAGGAGCTGGGATATGATATTATGGGGAGAAGACGGAGGCAGTCTGGCACCGGGACATACAAGCTGGTATTGGGCGACTGACATATGGAGACAGAAGTTGGCACGTTACCTCGGACCAGGATCCTCCTGCAGTAATCTGGATCGGTGGCTGAGCCGTTCTTGGACTTGACGCAGGTGTCCGAGGCTCCCGGAGCCGGGTACGTGGCTTGCTGCTCTTTGAGGTAAGAGTCCCCAAGGCTGCTTTGGCTGTCCCTGGAGTCTTTGCCTTCCTTGTGCCCAGGTTTGGTGTTTCGGGGCTCCTCTGTGCCAGGGTTGCACCTAATGTCCATACTGCGCGTTTTCTCAAACATAAATGGAGAAGAATTCTCTGTGCTGCCAGCAAGAGGGTCCACGGCTGGTACTGTGGGCACCTGGGCAACCTGATATTATTAGGGTCCCCAGCTGGTATTGGGGGTATCCTGGTGTTGGCTTGGGCAATGGGCACTTAGGTATGCTGCTGTGAGTTTGGGCACAGGGTCACCAGGTATTACCCCAGGCAGGGGGTCTCCGTGTGCTGGTCTGGGGTCTGCAGGGAGATCAGGCTCCTGAGGTGCACGCAGGCTCTTGTATGTGGTGTTGCTTGTGTCCAGTGATTGAGGAAAGGCAGTAAAAAGCTCTCATGCCTCCTTATTAGACACACTCATCATACAAGGGGTCGCTGACTAGATGCTGCCACTGATTACGGGTAATTTTCAAGCCTCCACTTTGAGGTTACCTCATGAATACACTAAATTGTTTGGCTAATATATTAGATCACAAATGGACGGTTCCTGAGCTTGTCCCCAATCAAGTCCAGCTTATCCAGAGGCGCCCACACAAGTGATTGGTCTGCTGGAGTCAATCACCATCTCCTGGAATGACACAAACAAACAACAACTTTCCTTTTGTGTGAGAAGATTCCTCGTAGATTGTCAGCCCCTGGGTATAATCACCCGCGCTGCCCTTCAGGACTCCCCAATCATCCTCCTCCTCCTCCTCCTTTGCTGCTGCTGAGCAATTTTCTTCAGAGGGAGCGGAATCAGCTCTTGTGTCCTCCTGTTCCCATCCTCGGCCCTCCTGGACTGG